AAACTCTGGCTCATGGATCATTTCAGAAACGATTTCTACAGTATTTCCCAAGACCTTCTGACATGAGCAGCGGTGTGCTTACTCATTCAGGGTAACGGGAGGAACATCCGGTGCAAAGACCAGGATTATGTAGATGGCGTCAGTACACTTCATTTTATTGTCTTCCAGGGCTGTGTTTCGCCTAACACAAGAGAAACATTGTAGGAGATTTAGATGGGAGCCCGTGTACTCTTAGACTCTTGAATTTTTAACTGAGGAGCTGCAGGGGTTGGGGTAATAATGGATACATGGCCCTGGCTGAGGGCTTGTATACAAATGGGATCTTGGGGAGAAAGAGGTGGGCTGTGTTGGGATGGCCTTCAAGGCTTAATGAAAACCTTGTGGAAGGCACTTTTCTTGGCATTAAAAGGTCTTCAGTGATTAGTAAAATGTAGAATGGCTGTAACGACTGCAGAATCTAAAACCAGTTTTTCACAGTGGCTACTGCACTGCAAGCTGTTCCAAATAGGCATTCTCCCCTTCTCTCTCTCTCTTATCTTTTTTTTTAAACATACTTTAAATATTTCACTCCAATCTCATCTTGTTTGCATGGTTCCATAACAGAAGTCAGATATAATCCTTATACTTTTTCCTCTTTAAGTGAAGTGGGTTTTGTTACCTCTGACTCCTTTCAGGAATTTTCTTTATCTTTGACCTTCTGTAGTTTGAATATGATAACCCTAGGTGTATATTTTTCTGGCATTTACCCTGCTTGGTGATCTCTGAGTTTCCTGAATCTGTGGTTTGGTGTCTGACATTGATCCTGAGAACTCTCAGTCATTATTGTTTTCAAATATCTCTTCTGCTTCCTTCTTTCTTTCTTTTCCTTCTGGTGTTCTCATTATGCACACTATACTTTCTGAAACTGTCCCATAGTTCTAGGATGGTCTGCTTTGGTCTTTCATCCTCTTCTCTTTTTGTTTTTTAACTAGGCACATGGCTGCTGAGAGAAAAGCCTGCAATCTAAGCTTCCCTTGCAACTGGGTGTGGGCATGGTATGTACTCAGAAACAGGAATTGTCCTGAAAGGGAGGAAATAAATCTTTGCTCCCGCCTTGCATCTTCCTTCAGTCTGGAATTCAGGCATGGTGGTGGAGCTTGGGCAGCCATCTTACACCATGAGGTAGAGATGGCCACATACTGAGGATGGAGGGGTCTGAGTCCCTGACCCCAGGAAACACCATCTGTGCTTTGTTAATCTCTTTACTTGACAGAAGAAAATGTATTTGTCTTCTGCTTCCGCCATCGTTCTTTTGGATTTCCTGTCAGCCTTACCCAAGTGTTAATCCTAATTAATACCCTCCCATCCAGTGTCGAGTTGGCCCCGCTTAATGACTGTTCCATGTTCAGAGTGTTTAAATGCCAACACAATGTAAATCAAGTAAAAAGTAAAATCGCAAACCTTGCAGAAAATGCAGGATTTTCCTGAAATTGATGAAAAGGATTTTGGAGAATTACTTGAAACCCAGGCAAATGAGGCTCTGGCAGGACGGAACCAGATAACGAGTGACCGTAAGCACGATGACAGGGCAGACGCTGCAAAAGAAAACTTCAACACCAAAGGAAGAAGAGAAGCTCTGGGGAATATTGATGAAATCCCCGTGGATGGTTTTGTTTACTTGTTGGTGCAAAGTATTTCTTGGCCCTGGGCTTCGAGTTTCAATTCTACCTGCAGAAATAAATCTTAGTAAACATGAGACCAATGTAACCTATCTTAATGCTGGGATTCATTTCTGAATACAGAGTCACAATCCAACTTTTTCTTTGACGGTCCTTCTTTTCTATGAAATTCTGGTCCGTATTCAAGAGGGGGGTTTCCAGTCAGTAGCGGTGCATGGTAGCTGCACGTCGGATCAGGGAAGCTTTAGGTCTGGGTACCTCCGACCCCAAGACTCTGATGTAATTGGTCTGAGATGCAGCCCGAGCATCGGGAGTTTTAAAAGCCGAGGCTGGGAACTGCTGCTTTACTAAGTGGCCTCCCTGGTGAGGGTTGGCTCTGGGTGGGGAGGACTTCCTGTGTGTCATTCCACATCAGTCCCCTGACTCTCCAAGGGGAGACTGGGTCAGAAAGGGGAAGGGAGGCTGGGGCATGGGGAGAGCCAAGTGGAAAAGGGAGGGAAGGAGGGAGAAGATAAGAGCTAGCTTTCAGCATCGCGTGAGGGCTGCAGTAAACGAGCTGCAAGGTCAAGTACCAGGCGGCTTCAAGGGAAGAGTTTACGCAGCTGTGCTAACTACTGTTACCGAGGATGGCACAGAGGTGCAGTGAACCCTTGAAGCCACAATGCAGGCTGAGGGTGCAAATGATTTCCACATCCCATCCGTAACTGATGGTGAGACCAGCTAGCAGCACATTCTAGGTCTGCTGGCTGCGCCAGGCATCAGGCTGGACCGCCTGTTCCCACGTGCACGGAAAGCCTGCTTTTGGAATCCTGAAGATACCTGATAAACCTTTCAGATCAAAACGATGCTGTTGTATTTAACTTCGCTGTGACAGTGCGGGGAAAGCGTGAGGAGGGTTCTTCCGGCAGAAGCTGTAAGCCAGGTGTGAACTCTGCCTCTTTGCTAGATAACACCATGCTGTGTGAAATGCATCTTCCCTCCACGTGTGAAGGTTATAGTATCTTAGTTCTATCTGGAAATGGATTGTTGGAGTCCTCCACACCTGTACATCAGCAAACTGGAAACTATACACAAAATGTTTAAACATAAAGTTAACTGAGTATGAAACTGAGAGCGTCTAGAACATCTATAGAAAAGCATTTTTTTTTTTTTTACATCTATACTTTGGTATTAAAATAGCAATTGCATTTAATTAATTAATTAATTTATTTATTTTTTGTGGTACGCGGGCCTCTCGCTGTTGCGGCCTCTCCCGTTGGGGAGCACAGGCTCCAGACGCGCAGGCTCAGAGGCCATGGCTCATGGGCCCAGCCGCTCCGCGGCATGTGGGATCCTCCCGGACCGGGGCACGAACCCGCGTCCCCTGCATCGGGGCAGACTCTCAACCACTGCGCCACCAGGGAAGCCCAGCAATTGCATTTTAAACCCCTCTTAATGAGATGCTCCAGTGTATCTTCTTTTGAAGTGCGGGGACTGGAGGCTGTGGAGGGTCTGTTTCTGGCAGGACAAGGCTCACAAAAGAAACACACCGGGTCTCTTTCTCTAGAGCGGATGGTGACACTTTATTCATTTAAAACCAACACGCCCTTCCCCAAAGGGCATGCAGCATGTGCGAGTGTTTCTATAAAGACACGAATGAACGATGCTGAGGCTCACTGGAGCGAAGCACCTACCATGTCATTCAACCAGGACGAGAGCGGAGCTTCCCGACCACCAGCATTTTATCAACAGCAGCATCAATGGCTGGTACCCGGGACAACATGCGGCCTTTTCTTAGGCTGGCATCGCTGATTCCAGACTCAGACGGAGCTGTCCACCTGGAGTTTGGACTCTGTTTCTCCCTCCCTCTCTTCGCTATGGCCACAGGGGAGCCCCGACCCTAGTGACCCTCAGATGCCAAAAAAGGGGGGACTGTGAGGGGTATTGTTAGCAGGACAGCAAATCCTGGGTGCTAGGAGCACCTTCGGGTTCCAGGTAACTGCCTTTGGGAAGGGATCCTGTTCTGAGATTGAGGCGTAGGACGACACAGGAAGTGACATGGTACAGAATCCATAAACGTGCTGTTCTTATCCCCAAGTCATCAGAGTTTAAGACGTTCGGTCTGAGGCTTACTCTTTAAAAAACAAGATGTAGGTTCGTTCGTTCACAGAAATAGGATGGCTGGAAAGAAAGGAGTCCAAGATGTCGTGAAGTCTGAGGCAAAGATGATGTGGATCCCTCCTCCCACTCCAGGGCCTGCAGGTATTGGAACAAACACCAAGGAAACGCTTCTGCTGACGGGCTCGGAGCCGCCCTCATCTCCCCCTTCTGGACCAGGTGGTTTCCTCACCTCCCACGAGACACGGAGCATTTCGCCCCCAGCCGTTGTCATGGAACGTCCATGAGAAAGCAGGGATTTCAGGATCCAACAGAGGCAAATACCGCCACCAAGGAAAACAAGCACAGGGTTTGGGGAATGCAGCACCGGTGCAGCCAGGACGTCCTTACAGTGATGATGACACTTGGTTAAACTCGCCCCGTGTTGGATAAGGTCAAGGCGACCCGAGTGCCGGTCCTGCGATGGGCTGGAGGCTGGTGACCAGATCGACACTCATCCTTGGGTCCCTGATGCTGGGTCCCTGATGCTGAACCCAATGAGCCAGGCTCCAGTATTTTCCAGGCTATGGGCGATAATGGGCTTTGTTCCAACTGGTTTTCAACCCAAATTCAACCAGGAGGTGGGTGGAGCCTATGGGGGGAGCAGGGGTCGGCCTGCTTATTTAGAGCACTCCCCGCTCTTTCAGTTACATGACTGATTAGTTCAACTCACGCACAGCACTGTCTCCAGCGTTTAGAGAAGGAAACCTGCAGAGCCTGGGGGCCCAGCTGCACGTCTGTCGGCGCCCCAGATTGGCTTCAGGGTCTGTACCACATTATAATCACTGCCAGTACCCCTCTCAGCCAACACGTCTGATTTTTGCTTTTGCTCTTTGAACAGACAGTGATGGGTTACAGGTCATCAGAAGACAGGGGAGAGGGGCCTACCCTTCCCTGTGACGACTTACAAATAAGCCCCTACTGTCCCTAGAAGTCCTAAAGCAGCTAATCAAACTCTCTCCCTGATGCCCCTTAAAACCAGTTACCCTGCCCCAATTAGTACCGCATCTCCATGAGGACTGATCAGGAAACACATCTGGGCTGTTACCTGGAAGCACAGAGAGGTTCTGGATGAATCGTCTTATGACAAATAGATCTGTGGTTCCAATGAACCCGGCTTGATTTCGACTGGATGGCCCCTCTGCCCAGAGCCCTGTCCCTGCGTGTCTGCCCAGGGCTGAGCATCTCACGGCACCAGGCACGCCCTTAGTCCTCACTGCTTCCCTCCAGCATCCTGACCAGGTGCCCATAGGTGTTTCTCTCCACCTGCCACGAATGGTACATTCTCACATACTCCCTTCCGTTGGCCACGATTTGTTTTTCTAACGCCGGATCGCCCCCCAGTCTCTTTGCCAGCCGAACAAACTCCTGCAAAGAAGGGGGTGGAGGAGAAAGAGAGGTAAGTAGCTGGTGAAGGGGGGTTGCAAACGCACCCCAAATCCCGCGTCTGCCTTTGCTCCTGGTCCGTCCTTTGCCCGCCTACCGTATTCTGGAGAAAAGGGCCTTTCGGAAGGATGCGAGTTAAGGCAAACATTGGGACTGAGTAAGAAATTACACACACGCACACGTGCGAGGGTGAACATCGTGGAAAAATACTGTAGTCATCGATTATGCTTCCCCATCTTTCTTCCCTAGATGGCTCAAAGCTGCTGTTTCTCACAGTAACTGAGTCCTTAACAGTGACTCCACAGTTAGATCCACGGTTTCTTTCCTCCTTTGTATCAGCTGAGATATGAAGTCAGGTCTTACTCCAGAATCTGAGCTCCGCTATTCTAGACAACACTACCCCTGCTACGTTTGTTTTCCATTGTGTTGATCCTTTCATCTTTCCCGGACACGGAGTGTGTCTTCAAATCATGGACATCACCTGGTGGAGCGGAAAGGGCCAGGCTTCCACTGGTTCAGATCTGGGTTCAAATCCTTCTTTGACACATAACTTAGCTGTGTGGCTTTGGGCAAGCTAGTTAACCTCTCTGAACCCTACAGTGGTCATCTCCAAAGGGGCAGTGGGCACTGGATGGGTAAGCCCCACCCTGCCCCAGACTCCCCAGACTCCACTCCCAGACTCCTTCACTCACTCCATGGGTGAAGGAGGGGAGAGGGGATTTAACCGGCCTCGATTTTCTACACTTTCCTTCTGTTGCTTCAGAGGGAGGAAGTGTGCTTTGCTCTATGTTTATTGACGCTTGCAGATGCTGATGCAATGAAAAAGTGGCCGCTTTTTAATATCAAAGCCCTTCATAATTGGAAAGAACTAGAATTCTTTTGATTGCTAAAGAGTATTCAGAGGGGGGAGGGGAGCACGCATTATTTATTATATTTGCACATAAGTCAAAGCAGGGCTCACCAGCCAGGAGGCCTGCATTTAAATTCACACCCTACCCTTCACGGGAGTCATGCTGGGTGCGTTTCGTAACCTCTCTGAGGCGAGGTTTCTTCATCTTTAAATTAGGAATAATTACAGTACCTGCTTTATAGCGTGTTGACAGGATTCAATGAGTTAATACAAAGAACTCAGGGCAGTGCCTAGCCCAGACTTAGCTATATCGTTATTATTGTGATTCCCCAACCCGTGTAAATTCCAATAAGTCAACAGTGCCTAAGATTAACACACAGTGCTTTGTGCCATTTACAAGGAACGTCCACGTATTCTCAAAATTATCGTTAATTAAACGTTGGATGATTTTTATAGCTAGCAATATAAAAAGCAATATTTACGATAGAGTGGAATTATGTTTTTATGTAGTATATATACACTTTATGGTAAATTGGTGTTCTTTTTATAATAAAAATGTAACATTTATTCCCATCTCATAGGAGAACAACATTCTTATTAAAATTATTCGAGAGGCTTATAGCTTTGGTACATTATTTTACGATGCTGGTCATATCTTTGATTTATCTGATGCAGACACTTTGGCTAAAACCCAACCCCCTGCTTATGATTTCTATAGCACATATGACCGTTTTATAATGGAATCCTGAATAAGAGTTTCTAGGAATAGGATGTGATAAAGCGCACTTTTTTTTTTTTCCTCTCTGCATGGAAGACTGAACCAAAAACACTGACTTAAACAAAGCAAGAGAGAGTTGGGTAAGGAGTGGGAAACATCTTGGCCGTTGGCATAAAACCCTGGCTGGGTGGCTGAAAGAAAAGAAAGAGAAGGAAAGAAAAATCTCACTCTTGAACTGTAATAGTCACTCCCGAGGCCCTGGGATTATTTTCTTCTGGGCTAAAACAGCTCCTCCGCGACAGCTAAGGCGGTACCCTGAACACACGCGTGCGTACAGTGAGAAAAGCCCGTTGACACAGACTGTCATTTACTGTGTGCAAGATGGTGGCCGCAGTCCCCCATCCTTGCATGAACGTCTCTTTGAAATAGGGCTCACCCACTCCTCCAATAAAGGGGGAAGGGAGTCTGTTTCCCCATCTCCTGAATCTGGGCTGGCCCTGGAATTTGCTTTGACCAACAGAATAGGTCAGAAGTAATGTAGTTTGACTTCCAAGCAAAGCTCCGAAAGGTCTAACAGCTCCCACTCTCGCCCTCTTGGAGTCTGAGGCCACCCGATAAAGGAGCCTGAGGCAGCCTGCTGGAGGATGAATGACCACTTGGACTGAGATGCCCATCAACCACCCGTACCAGCAACCAGACACTCATCCAATGGACCAAAGGACCATGTCATAAGAGCTGTAGCAACACTTCCAGGAAACAAGTACAAATGCCAATTCATCATCATCCCAACCAAAGCCCAAAAGGTTTTATACAACTGTCAGCTGCAGAACGCGCCAGAACACCCATCATATCTGATCACCCAGTCTTGACTGGGGGAGGGAAGAATTCATCATTTATGTGATTTAATGATCTATTCTTGAAAATTATTCATGATAATAAGTTATGAGGCCTTAAAGGGTACACACACTAAAACAAAAGAAAATAGAAACCAAGTATTGGGATTCCACATCTTAAGAGAGTTTAAGAACAGATGTAGGCACTGCCCTAGATCAGAGTTGGAAACTCAAGTGCCTAACGGCTCCCGGGGGGGAAGGCCCGCAGTGCCGAACCCCGGCTGCCTCAGCGAGTAGGGGCCTCCACTTGTTCCCACGTTTGCTGTGTTTTTCAAGAGAAGTCGAAATTCGGCATATTTATATAAAAGCACTCCATGCTAAATACCAACAACTAATTCAAAATTTTAAGTAAACAGCAAACTAAACAAAACATGTGTGCAGACCAGACCCACCCCAGGACCACAGGTATGCAAACACTGGCTTAAGTTACAGATTTCTAAAGTTAAAAAAAAAAAAAAAAAAAATCGGCCTTCCCTGGTGGCGCAGTGGTTGAGCTTCCGCCTGCCGATGCAGGGGACGCGGGTTCGTGTCCCGGTCCGGGAAGATCCCACATGCCGCGGAGCGGCTGGGCCCGTGAGCCGTGGCCGCTGAGCCTGTGCGTCTGGAGCCTGTGCTCCGCAACGGGAGAGGCCACAACAGTGAGAGGCCCGCGTACCGCAAAAAAAAAAAAAAAATCATGTAAAACACCACGGTTTGTTTTCATAATTATTCAATTAGCAGTTGACTGTTTTCAGAGTTTTCTTCCTTACTGAGTAGTCCCTGCTGGTGAAGAAAACTCACTGAGAAATACATCAGGCAGAGAGAGAGAGAGACAAATACTGTGTGTTATCACTTATAGGTGGAATCTAAAAATTACAACAAAGGAATGAATATAACAAAACAGAAAGAGACTTATGGCTACAGAGACCAAAGAAGCGGTTACCAGTGGGGAGAGGGGAGGAGGGAGGGGCAAGATAGGGGTATACGTACAAACAGGCACAAACTATTATGTATAAAATAAATAAGTTACAAGGATATACTATACAGCACAGGAAATACAGCCAATAGTTTACAGTAATTTTAAATAGAGTATAATGTATAAAAATATGGAATCACTATGCTGTACACCTGAGACTAATATAATATCATAAATCAACTATATTTCAATTAAAAATTTGTTTCTCACTAAATCCTTTTGACCTGCCTTGTCGCCCCGAGGTACCAGCCAGATGCAGGGCGTGAGAAGCAGTGTCAGTTTTACAGGATGGATATTCAGACCCCTGGTGGGATCCTTCTCATAACCGCATGATGGATATTTAGACCCCCGGTGGGATCCTTCTCATAACCGCGTCAGCTGAAAGCCACGGGGCAGGGGGGAGCCCCCAACGAGAAACAAACGCCTCATGCAGAGAGAACACGCGAGATGGCAGACTGAACATGGGATGGTTTGAAAGAGCATTGCATTCCGACCACCTTCTGTAAGGGATACATATACGTATTCTTCCAGGAGAAGCGAAAGTCAGTTGCATAAAAACTCTGGGTTCAATTAGACAACCCCAAAGCTGCTTCTCCAGATGCTTTGAATACGACAGGTCACCTGATGGGGGATGTTGACAAGGAGGTTTCTGAAGACTGACAGATGTGCTGTCGTTTCGATCGTGGATCGTGGTTTTCCTCGGAACCCTGGAGTTAATTAAGGTTCAGTCTGTGCCTCTGGTCCTCAAACTTCGCTTTAAGATTCTGATTGGGTAGGTCAGGGGCGAGGTCCAGGAATGGTGTCTTAGTCTGTCTGCTATAACAAAATACCACAGACAGGGGGTGGCTTATAAACCACAGACAGTTCTGGATGTTGGAAGTCCAAGATCAAGGCGCTGGAAGATTCGGCGTCTGGTGAGGACCTGCTTCCTGGTTCAGAGATGGTTGTCTTTTCACTATAATCCCACGTGGCAGAAGGAACGAGGGATCTTTGTGGTGTGCCTTTTATTAGAGCTCTAATGCCATTCGTGAGGGCTCCACCTTCATGGCCTAATGGACTCTCGGAGGCCCCGCTTCCCAATACCATCACAGGAGAGGCTCAAATTTCAACACGTGAATTTGGGGGTGAGTGCGTGGAGGCACAAACATTCAGTCCGTAACACATGCGTATTTTCTAACAGTTTCCCCCCAGGTGATTCTGGAGAGTCAGACTATGAAAAACACTAGTCTAAGACGGATAACTGTGCCTACCCTATTTTACACAAGTTATTTGGCCACAGAATAGATCCATCTTGGACTTCCCTGGTGGCGCAGTGGTTAAGAATCCGCCTGCCAATGCAGGGGACACGGGTTCGATCCCTGGTCCGGGAAGATCCCCCATGCCGCGGAGCAACTAAGCCCGTGCGCCACAACTACTGAGCCTGCGCTCTAGAGTCCACGAGCCACAGCTACTGAGCCCATGAGCCACAACTACTGAGTCCGCCTGCCACAACTACTGAAGCCCACGTGCCTAGAGCCCGTGCTCCACAACAAGAGAATCCACTGCAACGGTGCCCGGGCACCGTGA